CAGCAACATAAAAAAAAAAAAAAATTCATTATGATCAAGTGGGATTTCCACCAGCTCTGCAGGGATGGTTCAACATTACAAAAACAATCAATGTAATCCACCACACAAATAAAACAAGATAAAAACCACATGGTCTTATCAATCGATACAGAAAAAGCATTTGACAAAGTCCAACACCCATTCGTGATAAAAACTCTCAACAAAATAGGAATAGAAGGGAAATTCCTCAATAATATTAAAGGCATTTATACAAAGCCAATAGCCAACACCATCCTAAATGGAGAGACTTTGAAAGCATTCCCTTTGAGAATGGGAACCAGACGAGGATGTCCTCTATCATCACTCTTATTCAACATCGTGCAGGAGGTCCTAGCCAGAGCAATTAGGCTAGAAAAAGAAAAAGGGCATCCAAATAGGGAGGGAAGAAGTCAAAGTATCTCCATTTGAAGATGATATGATCTTAGACACAGAAAACCCCAAAGAATCCACAAGAAAACTACTGGAACTAACAGAAGATATCAGCAAAGTTTCAGGATACAAGATTAACATACAAAAATCAGTTGGATTCCTTTACACCAACAAAGAGAACCTGGAAGAGGAAATCACCAAATCAGTACAATTTACAATAGCCCCCAAGAAGATAAAATACTTAGGAACAAATCTAACCAGAGACGTAAAAGACCTATACAATAAAACTACAAGACACTACTGCAAGAAACCAAAAGATACCTGCATAAGTGGAAAAACATACCTTGCTCATGGATAGGTAGACTCAACATTGTGAAAATGTCAATTCTACCCAAAGCAATCTACAGATACAATGTAATCCCGATCCAAATTCCAACAGCATTTTTTAAGGAGATGGAGAAACAAATCACCAACTTCATAAGGAAAGGGAAGAGGCCCCGGATAAGTACAGCATCACTCAAGAAGAACAAAGTGGGAGGCCTCACACTACCTGATTTTAGAACCTATTATACTGCCGCAGTAGTCAAAACAGCCTGGTACTGGTACAACAACAGATACACAGACTAATGGAACAGAATTGAGAATCCAGACATAAATTCATCCACCTATGAGCAGCTGATGTTTGACAAAAGCCCAAAGTCCATTAACTGCGGAAAAGACAGTCTCTTTAACAAATGGTGCTTGCATAACTGGATATCCATCTGCAAAAAACTGAAACAAGACCCATACCTCACACTATGCACAAAAACTAACTCAAAAAGGATAAAAGACTTAAATATAAAATAGAAAACAATAAAGATCATGGAAGAAAAAATAGGGACAACACTAGAAGCCCTAATACATGACATAAACATAATATGAACCATAAGTAACAAGGCACAAGCACCAGAAGAGAGACTAGATAACTCGGAGCTTCTAAAACTCAAACACTTATGCTCATCAAAAGACTTCAACAAAAGACTCAAAAGACTGGGAAAAAATTTTTGGCTACTACAAATCCGATCAGTGTCTAATCTCTAAAATCTACAAGATACTGCAAGACCTCAACAACAAAAAGACAAACAACCCAATTAAAAAATGGGCAAAGGATATGAACAGGCACTTCACCAAAGAAGATATGCAGGCAGCTAATATAAACATGAAGAAATGCTCATTATCATTAGCCATCAGAGACATGCAGATCAAAACTACAATGAGATATCATCTCACCCCAACAAGGCTATCCTTAATCCAAAAAACACAAAATAATAAATGCTGGAAAGCTTGTGGAGAGACTGGAACACTTATACACTGTTGGTGGGAATGTAAAGTGGTACAACCACTTTGGAAATCTATTTGGTGCTTCCTTTAAAAGCTAGAAATAGAAGTACCATACGATCCAGCTATCCCTATCCTGCTCCTTGGAATATATCCTAGAGAAATAAGAGCCGTGACATGAATAGATATGTGCACACCCATGTTCACTGCAGTACTGTTCACAATAGCAAAAAGATGGAAACAACCTAGGCACCCATTAATGGACGAATGGAAAAACAAATTATGGTATATTCACATAGTGGAATACTACGCAACAATAAAGAACAATTATGAAGCCGTGAAACACAGCATGGAGGAAGCTGGAAGTCGTTATGCTGAGTGAATTTACTCAGTCACAGAAGGACAAATATTGTATAAGACCACTATTATAAGAACTCAAGAAATGGTTTAAACACAGAAGAAAACATTCTTTGATGGCTACGAGGGTAGGAAGGGAGGGTGAGGATTATTGACTAACTAGATAGTAGACAAGAATTATCTTAGGCGAAGGGAAGGACGGCACACACTACAGGGGAAGTCAGCACAACTGGACTAAACCAAAGCTAAGAAATTTCCTAAATACAATCAAACACTTTGAGGGACAGAGTAGCAGGAGTAGGTGTCTGGGGACCATGCTTTCAGGGGACATCTAGGTCAACTGGCATAACAAAGCTTATTAAGAAAATGTTCTGCATCCTACTTTGGTGAGTGGTGTCTGGGGTCTTAAAAGCTTGCAAGCGGCCATCTAAGATGCATCAATTGGTCCCAACCACCTGGAGTAAAGGAGAATGAAGAACACCAAAGACACAAGGAAAGTAGTAGCCCAAGAGACAGAAATGGCCACATAAACCAGAGACTTCATCAGCCTGAGACGAGAAGAACTAGATCATGCCTGGCTACCACCAATGACCACCCTGACAGGGAACACAACAGAGAGTCCTGGATGGAGTAGGAGAAAGGTGGGGTGCAGAACTCAAATTCTAGTAAGAAGACCAGACTTAATGGTCTGAGACTGGAGGTACCCTGGAAAGCATGGCCCCTGAATTCTCCATCAGCCCAGAACTAAAACAATTTCCGAGGCCAACTCTTCAGACAGGGATTGGACTGGACTGTGGGACATAAAGTGATACTCATGATGAGTGTGCCTCTTAGCTCAAGTAGATACAAGATACTAAATGGACAGCTTCTGTCTGGAGGTGAGATGGGAAGGCAGAGAGGGTTAGGAGCTGGTTGAATGGATATAGGGAATCAGGGGTGGAAAGGAGGAGTGTGCTGTCACAGTATGGGGAGAGCAATGAGGGTCATATAACAATGTATGTATAAATTTTTGTATGGGAAAAAATAAAAGAAAGAAATAAAAATGAAAAGAATACCTACAAATATATCTAACAAGAGATGTGTAAAATCTATTTAAAAGAAAAGGTTATATAAATGAGGAGATGTATCATCATGTCCATGAACAATTTAATATCATAAATGTGTCAGTTCTCTCTAAAATAATCTAAGGATTCAATATAATTTCAATCAAAATCCAAACAGAGTTTTTTAACGGATATTAACAAGCTGAATTAAAAATGTATACGGAAGAGTAAAGGCCCAAGAGTAACCAGGAATTTCCTGGAGAAGAATATGGTATACAGATTTTCTCTACAGGATATCGAAAATTATAATAGGGCTGTAGAAACTAAAACACCATATTACTTGGCTAAAGAGAGAAACTGGCGGAAAAAAAAAAAAAAAAAAGAGGAATAGAGAGCCCAGAATCAGACCCACACATATATGAAAACTTGCATGATAGATGTAGCCAGCACTGCAGATCTGTGGGTTAAGGAGAACTATTTAATAAATGATACTGGAACATTTCCATATGCCTACTAGGAAAACTGAAATTTACCACTATTTCACACACAAAAAATATCAATTCATGACAGAGTAAGATCTTAAATGGAAAAAGCAATATTTTAAACTTTTAAAAGAAAATATAGAAGAATATGTTTATGACCTTGGTGTAGGGAAGGATTTCTTAAACAAGTTTTTTTTTTAAATTTCTGACTATAAAATAAAAGATAGACCTATTAAAGTACATTAAAAGAACCTCTGCTAATCAAAAAACACCATAAAGAAAAAGAAAGATTCACTATAAATGAATCATAATGATTCACAATAAATGAATCATAATGATTCACAATGAAGTCACAAATTATGAGAAGATACTGTGGCACACAAGGAGCCCTGGTTGCATAGTGGTTCAAGCATTTGGCTGCTAACCAAAACGCTGGCGGTTCGAACCCACCAGCCACTTCATGGGAGAAAGATGTGGCAGTCTACTTCCATAAAAATGTGCAGCCTTGAAAACCCTATGGGGCAGTTCTACTCTGTCCTATATGGTCATTATGAGTCAAAACTGACTCGAAGGCAGTGGGTTTGGTGTTTTATTTTTGATGTGGCACACAAATAATCGACCAAGTATTACTATACAGAATTTATTTTTTAAATGGCTACAAATCAATAAGAAAAAGATAAACAAGATATGTACAGGCAATTGATAGAAAAGAAGATATGACTGACTACTGAACATATCAAAGATGCTCAACCTGATGCTCAAACTGAGAAATGCAAATTAAGATCACAATGAGACATCAGTTTTTATCAAGCTGTATTGTTGCTGGGTGATGTAGAGTTGATTTCGACTCATAATGACCACACATGACAGAGTAGAACCTGCCCCATAGGGCTTTCTTAGTTGTAATCTTTATGAAAGCAGACTGCCAGGTCTTTCCCCAAAAAAGACCATTTGTGTCCCCAGGGCTTCATTTTTATCTAGCAGATTGGCAAAAATGAAGTCTGACAATATCAATCATCATAAAGGATGCGAGAGCAACAGGAATACTTATACAGGAACACTTATACAGCAGGTGGGAGAACAAATGAATGGAACAATGTATTATTTTCTTAAAAGTTGAACATTCACATTCTCTATATACCAGCAATTCCACTCCTATGAATATATCCTGGAAAACTACCTCACATGTTAACAGAAGACATGAAAAAAGAATATTTAGATCAGCCACATTCTTAAAAGCTAACAGAACAAATGGAAACAGCCCAGATGCTAATGGAAGAATAACTAGTATAATTTAGTTTTGTAAAAAGTATGTAAACAGACTAAGAACAATATATCAATTCCAATATCAATGTATCAGGTTTAAGTAAACATCATTCAGAAGACTTTTCACCTTGTTTCTCTTGGCCTTCATTTGCGCTTTTGCTAATAGAGCATACATGATTATCTCGGGCTTACTCAAAGTGATCGTGTGTAAGACCTGAATGGCTTTGTCGTGGTTTTCACAAAAGGAATAAATGAGCGCTTGCTGTACAGGACTCAACTCAATGAGACCTAAAAGAAACAGAAAGGTTTATCAATGTCTTGTGGTATCTGTGCCAACTACCTAGGATTTAGAATATAATCATTTTAAGGAAGTCAAGCAATTCAAAAATTTTCCTATATAAAATGAATTAACAAATGAATATTATACTAAAATCTATTACTACCAGAAAACAGTAAGAGATTACAATTATAAACATGTAAAATTATAAGCCTGTTATTTCCTATAATAATGTCTCTCACAAAATTCACTGTTATGAATCATTATTTTATTAGTTAATTATGCACATACAAAACTGAAGTTTTAAAGTTTCAAAATCTAACTTTGACTTTTTAGTGGATCTTTCATACTATCTGTTGTTGTTAGCTTCCACTGAGTCGGCCCTGACTCATAGCAACCCCGTGCACAACTGAACTAAACTCTGCCAGGTCCTGGGCCATCCCCATGATCGGTTGCAGATCAGACCATTGTGATCCGTGAGGTTTTCAGTGGCTGATTTATGGAAGTAGATTTCTAGGCCTTTCTGCCTAGTCCATCTTAGTTTGGAAGTTCCGCTGAAACCTGCTCAGCATTATAGCAACATGCAAACCCGCTCTGACAGACCGGTGATGGTTGCACGAGGTGCACTGGCCAGGAATCAAACTCAGGTATCCCACATGGAAGGCAAGAATTCTACCACGGAACCACCAATGCGCCCCCATATTATCTGTACGCAGCTACTGAAAATAGTGTAAAAATTTTACAAAGATATTTCTTTTTAAGATACTTATAATTTTTACGTTAATTATATTTACCTTTGTTCATTTCTGCTACTTGATAAATTGTGAACTTTGCAAGATCAAATTGTTTCATTGTAAGAAGATATTGTCCTCTGGAAGAAATAATAGCTTTCTGATTCTAAACAGTTAAAATAATTCTTGTAAAATAAAATTTCTTATACAGGTAGTTCATGACTTACAAAGGGGCTCCGTTCAAGGGTTCTGACATAAGTCAAATATCTCTTTTTTTTTTTAGTTTTCATCATTATTGCCTTTTATTACCAGTAACTTTATAAATCTGATCTTTGTCTTTGGGGGTTGGAAACATTACTTATAAACTTACAAATATAAATTAATACATAAAAACATACATACATTAAAAAATACACAAATCATTAAGAAAAAGGACAGTTGTTAAGTGCAGTTCGTGTAACTCAAATACATCATAAGTCAGCGACTACCTATAAATAGTTACTTAAAATGTTACCAGTATAATACAGTCACTAATATATACATATGTATGCACACAAAAATCATGTGAAGATTATATTTTATATAGTCTAAACCGCTCAATTAGCATGGAGATGTGATGAGAAAACAATTAAGAAAACGTGATATCAAAATAAATACTTAAATATATTTTTTGCAATTGTCTGTATTTAAAATATTATACTGTTGATGAGAAATTATTAAAAGATAACCAAAGTTCAAGGGACGTAAAAGGGGAGAAGTATTTATATAAACAACCAAAACGTGGTTCAAGAATCAAAAGACATAACATCAAAAGACAATCAGAAAGCATTTTTCTGTATCATTTTCCCAAGTTTGTAAATCCTGAGAAGTTAGAACATTTTTTTGGTAATGATGATTCATAACTAGCAAAGAGTCCCTTTACAGCAACCTCTAAATACGGCATTTGAAATACAATTAAAATGTGTCATTTTTTTCCCACTGTATTACCTGAGGCTTATGTTTGAATTACCTGAGGTTTCATTTTTTTTTTTTGTGGACACGATCAAAATAACTGTTGACATTTCTTACATTACTCTCATGAGATACATGTTAACTATATAACCAGTAATCTAGAGAGGCTTCAAACAACTTAAACACTAACAGTTATGTTTTGATGCAGGGATAGAGCAAAGGAAGAGATCTGGTTATCTTATGTAATAAATTATCTTCAAGTTTAGCAAAAATGGTAACTACATCTGGCTTGCTGATGGGGAGATGGCAATTGCTGGGAGATTAAGTATAAAATGAGGAGGCTAGAAGAAACAAAATTATTTAATTAGAGATTTAAAGATCCCAGCAATCAGCTCGAATGTGAAGCTATCCCAAGAAGAGTTGTATTTCTATGCTCATACCTTATTATATATAATTGGATTCCATCTGGCTGAAGGTGGATAGCACAAGACAAATCTCTTACTGAGTCTTTCAATTTATGCAACTGTTGAGTGACAAACAGAAACTTAGCTCCTAATAATACTGATTGTTTCCTTTACAACGTGTATCCCCTCCCACCATTCACTACAGAAATTTTGCAGTTACATCTCTTAATACATTTTTCTTAAGAATCAACAAAATAAATGGGATAAAGAAAACTAAAAAAAAAATTTTTTAATGCAAAGTCTTTTTTTAACCATTTGTCTTTAATTTTGAAGAATGATGACACACCTACATTATATTTAATTTTACATTAATGTGGTTGTATCATAATTCCAGTTTGGGGAGGTTGTGGATTTCTGTTTTCGTCTGGCTTTCCAGTCTTTCTCTCTCAACCACATAACCCTCTTCACCAAACTTTACCGTATTAATGAACTAGCACGTGAAGGAGAGGAAAAGTGTAGAAGTCAATTCTATTTAAAAATAAGTGAGAAAAAAACATGTTTGCATCAAAATCAATGAATAAAAGAATCAATTAATGAAACAAGATATAAGGGTGAAAAAGGAGATTGGTTTAGCACCAATATACAATAAAAGGTAAACACTGATTTTTTCTGTAATATTGGCCACATAAACTGTTCCCGTTATCCCTTCTGAATGAGAGCGTGACTATTGTGACTATTCTGAAAAGGCACATCTAAGCCTGGAGTAGAGATACTACCCAGCGATCCAAGTCTTTGAAATTGACACTGTTTAACAGATTAGTACTTCTAAGTCATTAACCTTGGGTAGCAAGTGAGTGTATTTTGCTTATAGCACAGAAAGTGAGTCAAAGATTTCATGAACAAAAAGATGAGCTGTGGTAGTCATTAGTACCGTTCACCAAATATCTACAGCTCTGTCTTCTGAGCACATGGTAAGATTGCACTTCGTGGCCCTCAAGGACAGACGCGTGTGTCATTTCTGAGCCAGAGTTTTTAACTGAAGGTGAAAAGACCTTCCAGAGATCTTTTCCTCTGCTATGAGAATTCACAATATTCCAATAATGGCTCCTTCATCAGCCTGGGTCCTAAAATTGGGACAGTGGAGAGCACAGCCTCCAGCCAACCATCAATGGGCATGCAATGTGAGCAAGAATTCTACCTTTGTTATTTTTAACACGGTGATTTTGATGTTGCTTTTTACCGCAGCATAACCTAGCCTATCCTGACTGAAGCCAGTGTGACCACAGCAGTGTGAGCAAGAGGACTTGTAGGAGATAAGCCAGCTCATGTAGGCTTATCATTGCAGGCCTTTGGGAGGATTTGGCTTTTATTCTGAGCGCAAAGAGAAACTAGTGAAGGGTTCCGAGCAAAGAAGTGAGATAATTTGACTTGTGTTTTAACAGGATCACTGTGACTGCTGACTTGAAAATTTATTGAAAAGGAGTGAAAAGCAGAAGTAAAATGACCAGGAGGCACTGCAGTAATCCTGCTGAGATATGGCTGTGTCTTGGACAGGGTGCTTAGCGGTGGAGCAGTGAAAAGCGGTTATCTATTTTGAAAGGCAGAGATAACAGTTAACAGTGATTAACAGATTTGGTTGGTGTTGCGGGGAACTTTTATTGTTTATTATACTGTTTGAATTTGTTACGCTAAGAATACATTACATTTATATTTTCTAAATTAAATAACTTGTAAAAATTAAACAAAATTTAAAAGAAAGTATGCAACAGTTGGGATCCCATTCTATGCATGTATTCCATTCTACAACCCACCCACTTGCCCACAGAACTATACATGTGCATACACACACACACACACACACACACACACA